ATAACAAATCCAGTGGGAATTAGAACTCAGCTCATTCATCTAAGTTTTGACCAGGCTCAATGTTGCTTAACTTTGGTAATCATACGGGAACCGCTGCTTCAACATGATATGGCCATAAGTTGAATAACTACTTTCTGGATTTTATTTTTTGGTGAAAATTGTTCTTTTATTTTTTTTAAATCTTGAGATGCACAGTAGGAGCACCAAGTAAAGGTATTTAATGCATGAACGAATAGTAGATTTATAAATGTGCAAGATGGATTTCGACAAGAAAAGTTTGTTGGCATGACACAATGAATCAAGATTCGTTGCAGTAGACATAGAAACCGACTCAATATAGTCACTTCATGGGAAATTTTTTTTTTTTTTTTTTAATTTACTGGAAAATATTCTGTATAGTTGAAAATAGTGCATTGAGCATTTTGGTAAAATCTCTGGTGCATTGACAATAATTTGCTTCAAAAGACATCTTGAAAAATTCAATATTCATTGTAAAGTGATGTCTTCCTTATTTTTCAATATCCTGGTACTAAGAAAATGTTTCTGATGAAAACAATATGCCAATATTGAAGTAAAATAATTTGTTTCAAAAGACACCTTGAAAAATTCAATATTTATTGTAAAGTGATGTCTTCCTTATTTTTCAATATCCTGGTACTAAGAAAATGTTTGATGAAAACAATATGCCAATCTGATAATAATAGAAGTTGAAGTAAAATTTTAGATACTAATAAATTGATTTTCTTGGGGTTTTTTTTGCCAAGTGAAATCCCACATGCTGAAGAATGATACTTTTTGTTCCCTAAAGTTTGTACATTTTGAAATGCTTGAATTGCTGGCAATAAAATAAAGAACCACCATTATGCATGCCAGCCATGCCAGGAATTGTACACAATTGTATTGATAATGTGTAATGAATGCCAACAAACATGAGTACTACAGAGCAAATAAACTAAGGGTAATATTAAAAAAATATCAAATCAAATGAGATTTAACAGTTCCTAAAGGAGCGTGACCTCTAGAATAGAATATAAGTTTCTAAACTGTTTCTCTATGGTTTACGCTTGGAAAAGTCCTGCAATATATTTTAAAGGAAAAATTTATAACAATCTATATTTATGCAAGTTGTATATGTAAAAATCATTGTTATATAATTTATATCCAAAATTGTTAATACAATATTCATTTGCAAAAAAAAAAGAAAAAAAGAGAAGAATTCTAATATAATTCAAAATATGAGCAAAGTTTAATCTTCATGCTTGCAAAAAAATGATATTTCAAAAGGACAGATTTTCTTTTATACTGCTTATTAGTGTATACAACCAAGACTCCCTCAGTAATGTTTATTTACAATATTATAAAAATGTGTACCAAGTGTGACCTTTATTATTTTATAAAGGAATAAATTTGAAAAATATTTTTATTCAAAAATTGATAAAAACCTACAAAATTAACAAATTATGTGAAGCAATTACAATGCAATATTTATTATTTAACATTTTGTAAATAAATAAAACAAGTTTCTTTGTGCATAATTTTATGAAAATATCTATGAACTATAGAACAATAAATTTTAAAGAAACAGATAATTTTTTATATATGATTATACATTTTCTTCTCAAATTATTTTATATCTCATATTACATTTTGTTTTAACTTTTCAGTATTTTTATAATCATGATCTAGAATCAAGGATGACGAATCAACAGAAAATCCAGCAATTATAGGTCACCCTCCGACTTCCTACTCTTATTGGAAAAACAATTTAAAAATTTTTTTTTTTATATTGTTGTTAATTTTTCTAAAAATGCCTAGAAAATCTGCCAAGTGCTGACTGATGAAGAAATCTTAAATGAAGAGTGGACATAAAGCACCTTGACTAAAGCAATTTGCAAACTGGCGAATGGTGTTCTTTGGAATGGTTGGCAAAACATTGGTTTATAACTGATTGAACCAAGTGAGATTTTGCTGTTTGTAAAAGAGATTGGCGTTTATAATAGAATACAAATTTACAATCTGTTTTTGTATGGTTTCCACTTATATTTTAAAGGAAAAAATTTATTAGAATCTATCTTTATACAATATTCATTTGCTCCCCAAAAAAAATCTTATACAATTTGAAAACATGTTTTGGCTTTAAATAACTCCCAAAGGGTTGATAAGACTTTTCATATCTACTTTATCTATATATTTATCTTGGTTTCCCCAATTATATCTATCTTTGCCTACCCATTTCCATCTATCTCAATCTCTCCCTCATATCGATCTGCCACAATGTGTACTTAACTATCTGTTTATTTATTCAGGTTTGTCCTTTGTGTGTAACCACCTCCATATTTTTAACTTTTTCCCCCCAACACCTACGACCTGTTGAAAATGTGGATTATCTAGGTTAATCCAAATCTTTTTATGAAAAGATTTCACTTAAGAGCATTCTTAGATACATGTGTTAGGAAAAACCCAAGGATTTGTACAAAGCCAAATAAACTGACACTTCTTAAGTTAGATTATAAAGAGTTTTACTCCACTGATGGATTTACAGTGTGAACTGTCTTAATCAGATTGTGGTTTATAGTAGGCAAATACTTTCTTACAAGATTGCTATTATTTATTTATTTAAATGTAGAATGTTGTTCTCATCTTTGTTATTATTAAAGAACGAAAGAGGAATAACAGCCAGGCTGCAGCAGCAGCAGCTACAGTAAAAGAAAAAGAAGCCTTGGTGAGTGTAGTCAAGCATGGCAAGCAACATTAATTAACAGGCAGATTAGGTTTAAGGCTCCAAGTACTACACTCAGGATTGTCCCACAGAACAATAGACTAGTGAATTAAATCAAACTAAAATCATTATATAGGAATCCAGTGCATTTTTTTTCTTTGTAAGGGCATTTTATAACCCCTTAATTATTTGCTCAGTTTCTGAAAACCATTTTTCTTATTCCTCTATGTTTTAGGACAGAGGTTGGCGACCTTTGGCTAACTGTATGCTAACTTAGGATTTTAAAATCATTCAGTGTACCAATGGCATACATATTTTTATACAAGTCAAGGTCCATATAACTGTTCTACAATATATTTTATATAGTAATATGTAGTATTTCATTGAATATGACAGACAAGGTGCTTTGATTTAGTTTTTTATACAATTTCTCATGCGATCTAATAATTTTTTCTTTTCAGATGATAAATGATATAAAAACTGTCTGAATGTTCTTTTATTCAGAGTGCTTTTGGCTATACATTTAGCCATTTTTAAGGATGAAATATTTTAACTGTTAAATAAGAAATACATACATGCAACAAATTATTAATGAGGTATTATGATTACTTGCATTATTTACATTATTTGGACTGTTATCCTCATCTCCATTGCCATATTCACATGGCCCAGTGCATAAAGACGTTGGTTAGATCCAGCGACTAGACCCAAAGAGCTGCAAGTTAAAACTTGGAGAGTTGAGTTAAAGGGAAATAGCTAAGACATCTGTAAGAGGCATGGCATGTGGAACTAGAACAATCTACCCTGATGGATTAAATAAAGGGTTCATTTTGAAATTTGAATTACCTGAAGAAAGCCACAACATACAACGGCCAAAATGTTGTGAATATGGCAATGAAGACGATAACAATCTGAATAATGTAAATAATGCAAGTCATCCTTAATAGCTGTTGTGATTTGTAAATGACACAGTTGAATTTCTGCATATTTTTGATTCTGACATGCCCAATGTGTAATATTCACCTGTGTCTATTTTGCTTATAACCATATATTCTATCTTCTTACAATTGATTTTTAGTTTTTTCCATTCAATATTGTGATAGTAGTCTAGTAGTTTATTTTTTTGTTTCTGATGTTATTTTTTTAGCACCTTGTTCATCTTCTGAAGTACTTGTCAAAAAAAAAAAAAAAAAAAGAAAAAAGAAAAAGTGAAGAAATATAAGAATAAAAAAACAATATTTAATTAATTTCTGCAGAATATTTTTATCTTGACTTCTCTGAATTTGTCTATTTGAAGCAAAATTTAAAAAAAAATTTTTTTTAACTAGCTGGCATGGGCACATGGCTGAGTGATTAGAATGTTAGCATTCCAATCATGAGAAGTGGGCTTGAATCTCCCCAGGGTCAATTTATCAAGGTGGTGATCTTAATAATATCAGCCTAGGGAGGTGATTATAGCATGTGGCACCATTAGAATGTATCTAAATATCTGTTATAGAGTAGTTTCACAGTGGAGGCTTGTATTTCACTAAGTCAGTCCTAAAAAGGTTCGACGTACAAAACGTTAGGAACTTGTTATAATAGTTAATGACGCAGCAATCTAGTTGTGGTGATTGATACTTTAATGTCCGACATCGACTGACTCACCAACTCTCTGAGCTCCTGACGACTGCTACTATTCCTACTTATTATATGTGGGAGAGTCTATTAATAATAGAATAGGTATATTCCAGTATAACAATATCACAGGTTGAATCAAATCATGCAAATGAAATTAGTTGATGTCTTACTAATTAACCCATAGCTAAGGGAAGAAATGGATTCATACCTTTCCTAAGGCTATTTGTATATAAGTGAATATAACAAACCCAGCAGGAATTGAACTCAGTTCTCTGATTAACAATTCTGAGTCATTATCCATTAGACCACCTATATATCTAAAGCTTACAGTACCTGTTGTGAGTAGTAGTTTAACAAGGACTTGAATGTTAAACTACTGAGCACACCAGAGGGTACACTCTTTCTCAGAAACTGTAACTAAGGTCTGCTCAGCCTAGTTGCAGTATAAACCACAAATTGGCTATGTGGGTGTTGATAAAACAAAGTGTCTCTGTGCATGTGAGAATAGGGAATACCTAGCCACCCTAGTTGATGAATAAATTTGGAAACAAGCAGCCATTATACAAATGGCCAACATTAAACTATGATAGAAGTTTGAGTAAGATTTTGGTTTTTATGCTTGAATTCTGATGATAGCTTTAGAAAAATATTAAACACTTACATTATTTAAATCATCTTGGAGATTACAAGTCCGTAACTTCAAGCTTGGTAGCTTATCAGCAGGAACTCCAATTGTTGTGTAGTCTACAGCCTGGCCAGTGAACTTTGTCATGTTGATTGCTGGGAACTTTTCCATAATAAGTTTGGCATTACTAAAAATAGAGAAAGAATTTAAAATTTAGTAAATTAACAGCAAAAATTAAATCTAAAAATAAAATCACACTTTTTATAAACTGATAAATATTTTAGAGAGAGAAAAAATGTCTTTTGTAACCCTAGGATGTTTTGTGCTACATACAGTAGTAAAATGATAATTTTTATTTCATGAACAAAAGCTAACTATATTAATTATTAAAATATAATAATTGAAATAAATATCTCATTAAAATGTTCATTATTTTGGTATTTAATAAGAAAAATCAATATTAACTCATAAAATTAATAAAATATTTAAGTTCAAATTATTAAGTTGTTGTCATAATATTATATGAATATAGATAGATATATAAGACAATTTACAAAGAAGTTTTTTTTTTAATCATTTCACTCCAAGCAAAGTGGATTTATACCATGAGGATAAAGTGGGTTACTAGGAGGGAAAGAGAATGAGAAGACTTTAGTGAGGAGAAGTGAGGAAAAGACAAAGGAACAAGGTTAAGGAAGACAGAAGATAGTGACTGATGTTATATTTAAATTTTTAAAGATTACAGGTGGCAGGAAAGCAAGGAATTGGAATGGATTTCAACAGGTGAGAAGTGTGAGAAAAGAAACTTGTTAGAATAGAAGTGGTGATTGTATCTAGCTAGTTCAACAGTAAGATGGTGAGACCTAGTTGCCAATCAAGTAGCACATTTAAATTCATGCAATAGAAGCACCAAAGAGGAAAGCTCATCAGAACAGTTGTTATGGAAATATTTGTAGAAAAGACAGAGGGAAGACATGATCCTTCTTTAAATTTTGTCAAGAAATTCAAGATATACAGCAGGAGCACCAGACTAGATAGGGCAGCAATATTCAATGCATGGACAAATGGTAGATTTATAAATGTGCAAGATGGATTCTGACAAGAATATTTTACTGATGAAAAGGCGTCATCAGAAAAAGAATTTTATTTCACATGAACAAAATCTCCATTAGCAAGACAAAAATTGATTCATGTTAAGCACTGAATTCTCCATTTCCAATTCAATTTTTGATTTTTTTTTAATAATTTCACCCCCACCCCAGGCAAGGTAATAACACCATTAAGATAAGGGGTTACATAGTGTGAAAAAATCTGAGGAAAAAATAAAAAGAGAGGACAATAAAAGAACAGTAATTAAGAAGACAGAAGATGATGACTGAGATTGTATTTAAATTTTTGAAGATCGTAATTGACAGGAAAGCAAGAAGAGTTCCACATGCAAGAAGTGTGAGAGGAGAAACTTTTAGCATAGAACTTATTGTTAGATCTAGTAATTTCAAATATAAAATGATGAGACCTAACAACCAATTTAGTATTGAGCTTATATTTGTAAAGTTAAGATACCAAAGAGGAAAGCAAATCAGAACTATTACCATGGAAATCTATTTCATTATAGAAATCTATTTCATTACAGAAATTACAAAACATTATAGTTGTGTTCTTATGGAAATTAGCTTTTATCAAGTCATACAGCCACATCACACCGAAACACTGGTCCTGTACAATAACTTAAGTGAAGCAACATTGAGCATGGTCAGTACCTAGATGGGTGACCGCTTGGGAATACTAGATGCTGTAAGCTTAGATATGCAGGTGGTCTAATGGATAATGACTCGGAATTGTTAATCAGAGAGCTGAGTTCAATTCCCATTGGGTTTGTTATAATCATTTATATATAAATACCCTTAGGAAAGCTATGGGTTTATTGGTAAGACTTGTATCTTTAAGCCATTATTATCTAAAAAAAAAAATCTTATAATCTAAAAATATATTCTGGCTTTAAATAAACTGTAAAGAGCTGACAAACCATAAAAAATATGAATCAATCAATCAATAGGTTTTACTAATTAAAATTTAATTTCTATAAAGTTAAAGTAAAAATCAAGTGTTCATCTGCTTGGCACGAATCATGTTCATTAATATAGAATTTTTTTATGAAATAAAATTCTTCTACTGTTGTCATATCATTGGTGGAACACATCAGAGTAAATATTTTTCCAAATTATCTTATATACTTACAAATTCTACTTTTTTTTTTTTTTTTAAGCATTTCACTCCAAGCAAGGCAGGAAGCCACTAGCACGCAAGGGGTTACAGAGGATTTGGAGCAAGATCAGATAGGAGTAATAGAGGAAAGGATGAGGAGAAGAGTAGTGGATTGATCAAGGCAACTGGAGATGTCGATTGACATTACATTTGAATAGTTGGAGATTATAGTTATCAAGGAAACAGAAAAAGAGAAGAGAGTTCCACAGGTGAGAGGTGCGAGGTATGAAGCTATTGGAGTATAAGAGACAGCTACATTTAACAGTTTCAACAGTGAAGGGGCGAGAGCGGGATGCCAGCCTCGTAGGACGCTTGAATTCATGAAGTCTGGGAACCAGCAAAAGCAGCTCATCGAAGCAATTACCATGAAAGTATTTGTAAAAAAGACAGAGAGAGGTGATCGCATGTCTGTGAGAGAGCGACTGTAGACGAGATGCCAGATCAGGGCCAATTGCATTGCATATCCATCTCTGGATCTTGTCAAGAACCCTGAGGCAAACAGAAGGGGCTCCAGACCATATATGGCAGCAATACTCCATGCAAGGGTGAATGGTTGATTTGTAGATTTGAAGGAGCGATTCCAGGGAAAAAAATTTCCTGGCGTGGGACAGGGAGACAACTTTCCTTCCTTATAGATATTTTGTGGTATTTAATGCATGTATTTCACATATTCTTATTTTCACAATACCAAAACAAAATCATTTCATTTGTTTTACTAAACTTTATAGCTAGGACTTGCCAGGCTATGTCCATGGAGTTGAATCAATCACATTTCCTTCATATTCCAACCATAAGGAGAAAGTTCCATTCAGAGAGCTTTTTCTTAAGAGCAGCTACTTTCTGGAACAGACTCCTGCATTGACACTTTCATGAACCCTATAATTTTAACCTCTTCAAAGTCAAGAGTCAATCATTATGTATTTTCCTCACCTTCATAATCTCCAGTTCCTACCACCACCTCTTTCGTTCATATCACACTTCATAAACATTTTGACAGCAGCTCTATACTTTGAGTGACTCTTGAGCATTGTATTAGGTGAACTTTAGTAAAAAAAAAAAAATAGGGTTGCCATAATGTCTGACTTTTTTCTTTTATTCATTTCACCCCAAGCAAGGCGATAATGCCACTTGGATGCAGGGACTTACAGGGGGTGAAAGAGAGTGAGGAAAAGGACAATAAAAAGAACAGGATTCAGGGAAACAGAAGATAGATTTAAAAATATATATATATATATATTTTTTTAACTTACTGATCAAGGCAATGTTCAAACATTAAAGTAGCCTTGTAGCCAAGAATGGAGAAGATGACAAGGCAAGCATAGATAGCAGTCAGCCAATTGCAAATCGACACAATGATAGCATCTTTCTGACAATTGTTGCCCGGGTTGTTGTAACTTGCAAAAGCAATCAGTCCTCCAAAAGCCAAACCAAAAGAATAAAAGATCTGAGCAGCAGCATCCAACCAAACCAAAGGATCCTTCAGTCTTGAAATCTAACAAAGAAAACAAAAAGAAAAAAAATTTAAAAAATAAAACCAGAACAAAATTACAAGTTACCTCTTAATTTAGATTTTTTTGGCTATGTGTTTATCAATTGTATTTTGTTTTTGTTAATGTTTTCCACATTTATTCAAAAACTATAAACTCATTTAATGTAGATGCATATATCTGTCTGTATATCTGTTAGTTTCACCCTGCTTCTCTCTCTATCCTAATCTGTTCATAATCTATCTGTTGATTTCCTACCCTTTCTCCTAATCTGTTCCTATCTATCTCACTGTTGATTTCCCTACCCTTTCTCCTAATCTGTTCCTATCTATCTCACTGTTGATTTTCCTACCCTTTCTCCTAATCTGTTCCTATCTATCTCACTGTTGATTTTCCTACCCTTTCTCCTAATCTGTTCCTATCTATCTCACTGTTGATTTCCTACCCTTTCTCCTAATCTGTTCCTATCTATCTCACTGTTGATTTTCCTACCCTTTCTCCTAATCTGTTCCTATCTATCTCACTGTTGATTTCCTACCCTTTCTCCTAATCCCTATCTATCTCCTGTTGAACCCTTTCCTAATCTGTTCCTATCTATCTCACTGTTGATTTTTACCCTTTCTCCTAATCTGTTCCTATCTATCTCTGTTGATTTCCTACCCTTTTCCTAATCTGTTCTATCTCACTGTTGATTTCCTACCCTTTTCTTAATCTGTTCCTATCTCACTGTTGATTTTCCTACCCTTTCTCCTAATCTGTTCCTATCTATCTCACTGTTGATTTTCCTACCCTTTCTCCTAATCTGTTCCTATCTATCTCACTGTTGATTTTCCTACCCTTTCTCCTAATCTGTTCCTATCTATCTCACTGTTGATTTTCCTACTCTCTCTTAATCTGTTCCTATTTGGGAAGTGGCATCACACCAAAGAGTCCTTCAACATAGAAATCTCTCAAAGAAAACCCAAAAGAAATTTGTTAAAATTAAAAACAAAGTCTATCCATGCACTTATCAATTTTTTTCCACATATATATCCCCCCCCCAAATAAATAAATAAAATAAATAAAGACCAACTTAATGTTGACACAGGTTTGTCTGTTTGTTGTTTTCTCTCCCTCTCTCCTAATTTGTCATATCTGTGTCTCCATCTTACACCTCTCTCTCTCTCCCCCTCTATTTCAATTTGTTCAGGTCTGTCTGTGTCTATATCACAGCTGCTTTATATCTAGCTATCCTTAAATCTATCTAGCTGTGTATCAAACTATGCGCCTTTTTTGTAATTCAGTTAATTACTTTCTTTCACTCTCTTGTCTATCTATATCACTCTATTCATATCCACCAATTAATTTTTTTCCTTTATATTAATCTGTTCATATCTTTATATTTCTCTCTATTTATCTGTCTGCTTGCCTTTCTTCCTTTCTTCACACCTATTGCTGTTAGCTTTTCTATTTCTCAATCTCTTCTTATCAGTCTCTGTGTGTCTATCTTTCTTTGCTCCTTAATCTCTTCATATCTATCTTTATCTCTCTGCTTGCTTTTCTTTATTTCTTACCTCTTTGTCTGCTTGTTGTTCTTTATCTTTCTTTCTCAATCTCTCTTTTTCTACTTGTCTTTCCTTCTTTTGTTTCTCCTTAATCTCTCCATGCCTATCTATATTTCAGTTTAATTTATGTTTTTGCCTATTGAGTTGTCTTAATGTATTCATGTCTGTCAATCTGTCAAGCCAATATATTTTAGTTCACATTTGCTTAAACTCTGATTATGTTAATTCTGTAGAAACTTCCTGATGATTTTTTTCTTTGTAAATCAAAATAAAAATTGCCAAAAAGAAAAAAAAAGAATTGATAAGGTTAAAAGGTCAATATCATTTACATTATATTCTGTTTAATGTTATTCACTACACAATAAGGATGAGATAAAAAGGATATAAGGATATCATACTAGGATATAATCTTATGAGATAAAAATCATAAGGATATAATCATAGAAAGGATGAGAAAAAGATCACATCAAGATATAATCATATAAAGATGAGATAAAAATCATATCACAATATAATCATATAAAGATGAGATAAAAATTATATCTGGATATAATCATATAAGGATGCGATAAAAATCATATCAAGATATAATCATATAAGGATGAGATAAAGATCATATCAGGATATAATCATATAAAAATGAGATAAAAATCACATCAGGATATAAATCATATAAGGATGAGATAAAAATCATATCAGGATATAATCATATGAGGATGAGATAAAAATCACTGCAGGACAACTAGGTGTGCTTGACACCTTAGGATTAACTTTGCTTCTCTCTCTAGCTTCCCAACTTACCCACATTAAATAAATAAAATCCATTTGTGAAGTTAAAACAATAAAGTGGACAACATCTGTGTTCATATTTGGAAGATTAATAATTCTCTACGTGAACTTTGACATACTGTAATCATTTTACTTGCATCTCTGACTATTTGGTTGTGTTTATTTGAAGATCCAACAGTGATCAAAGTTGTGATATTTTGATCTTGGTCATTGTTTCTTGTATGAATCACTGTTTGTAAAGTTCAAACAAAGATCAAAATGAATCATGTCAAGCTGTGTTCTGATGTATCAAACAATGTGGAGTTGATAGTTGCAATGAGCCTGTAGATAATCACCTGCTCATCTGCATGGTTCACCTTTCATTCAGCTATGAGAGCTCATTTGATGTGTTGCAAACTCACCTTTTCCTCTCTGTCTAGTTGATGGTATACAAGTGCTGTCTCGCAGGTGCAGTGGCTATATTCGCTCAATATCTTTTCTCTTGCACAAGTTGCATATCATCTTGACATGTTGAAGCCATTGTATATCTGGCTTGTCTGTAGCGGTACCACCAAACTCTGGAATTATTTGATAGTCAAATATTTTGCTCATGATGAAATGGAAGAAATTTAATCTGCTTAATTAGCTTGTAGTTGATAGTTGCAATGAGTCTGGGTCCTCAACAGGTCAAAGCCATCTGTGTGACTCACCTTTCATTCAGATTTTTGACCATGTGTGCAAATTAGTGATAGTTTTAAAAGAGCTACAACTATGTATGCACTTTACCTAAATCACAAATGGCGGCTCTGTTTGCGCAGGCAGGACATCATGGCCTCTTAGCTATGGGTAACTTGGAATTCTTTGGTCCTATTTCACTACACGATGATGTCTCTCAGCCCCAGTTGAAAATTCTTTAGTGGGATTCTAGTCAAGTGAGGATTATACACACACACACATACTAAAAAAAAGGTTCTTTGGATTCAAATGTTTTTCTGACAGCACAATTTTTTTTTATTTTTACTGTAGTACAAATTGAAATATCAAAAATGATGTAATAGCGAAACAAAGGGCAAGAAAAAAGAAAAAAAAACTAATTAGCATAAAGAGGTAAATAAAAAATATTAAAAAAGTTAGTCATTAGCATTCTTCACTTTTCAGTGCTTCATCAACAAATAAGAAGTGTCCACACAATGATTAAATACAAGTGGAAATAACAAAAGATATCTATATATATATATATATATATATATATATATATATATATATATATATATATATATATATAATAAAAGTTATATATATATATATATATATATATATATGTTATAAAAAGTTTATATATATATATATATATATATATATAATGTTATAAAAGTTATATATATATATATATATAATGTTATAAATATATATATATATATAAATATATATATATATATATATATATATATATATGTTATAAAAGTTATATATATATATATAATGTTATAAATGTTATATATATATATATATATATATATATATATATATATATATATATAAATATATATATATATATATATATATATAATGTTATATAAAAGTTATATATATATATAATGTTATAAAAGTTATATATTAAATTCCCAACAACAATTTTATTTTATATATATTGCTGATTACAAATGCACTAAAAATCTGAGTAAGTTTTATGGAATTTTGAGGTTTCCAGATCCTAGTAATCCAAGAAAAATCGTGGCTACTTTACATATGTTAATACTTACTTGGCAGGTATTTTTGTATATGTGCATTAAAAGTCTTCTATGCTTCATGGTGCCCAATCTTAAAACTAACTTTTAGAATAACCCTAGTATCAATACAATATATGCAATGTTTTGAAAAGATGTTGGCATTTGTTGACAGCCTAGAATTTTGTTTGTAAAAATTTCTAACAAGTTTTTTTGTAAGAAGGTAAGGATTTGGAGTAAATAGTATTTCACCATAATATCCATTTTTGTCTTTAGATAATTTCTCGTGACAAGGTTAAAATAAGGTCAGGTGCTGTAAGCCTGGAGGTTCAGGTAATGTAATAAATAACAGTTTGTAATTGGAGATTAGAGATTGGAGAACTGAGTTCCAGTTTCAGTTTGGTTTGTTTTATTAACTTATGTGCAAATACACTTTAGAAAGGTATGACTCCACCTCTTCTCCCCCAGCCATGGGTTAATTAATAGGACTTGTAGCAGTAAATCATTATTATCTGCAAAAAGTTCTTCCAATCTAAAAATATTTTCTGGCTTTAAATAATCTGGAAAAGGTTGATAATCTGTAAAGAAAACAAATCAATGTAAGGTAAAAAAAAAAAAAATTGTCACTTAAATTCGCCTCAAGCCACCTAAGGGGATTCAGATGTTTCAACAGGTGGAAGATCATTTTCAGTCTGCTACAGTAATACAATGTATGCGTGTCTTTATCAGATGAGTCTTGCGACTTGTCCCCTGCTGTAATGAAATTTAGCCCCCCCCCACCATCCCAAATAAAATAATGTTTGCTTTTGCTGGCATTGAATCTAAGTAATGAGAAACTAATTAACTTAGATTTCATTTTTCTTACCCACATTTTTTGCTTCTTCAGGCCTTTATGAAGTTTTTATGAGCTTTCTTTTCTATTTTATTTTTGTTTTTGCCGTTACATATTTGTTTTCACCCAGTCAC